GCAGGTATTCGATGCAATATTATCCTGGAATATCCTCATGATGACCCATTTCGAAATGCGGATATTGATGGCCAAATCATGTCGGAAAGAAGCACGAATAACAGCGGAGAATGACCGCAACTTGGCTTAAGCTTGTCGAAGACGCTGTAGCGTTCACCGGAAATTTCGTCGTTAACCGACATACGATGGAGCCCCTCAGCCGATGTTATTCCTCCGGGTCGACGGACTCGACTCGAACTTGAGTTTCGAAGGGTGAATTGGTGGCATACAACGCATATCTGGATAATTAAAGCGACTGGCAAAGAAATAACCCCCTCAGTCTCGAAATAAGTACTACGCGAATCAGTCCCCTACTTACAGGCTGACAACAATGAAAGGCTAATGACCTCGCAGTCGAAAAAGCATGCGTCACGGTGTAAAAATCTCATGAGAATCGCTGAGACAAAATTCGAGCTCGCAGGAAAGCGTTTTATATCTAGACATCCGACATGGCGTGTACGTAGCGTAGCGTAAATGTATATGTAATTAAGCGCACGGATGCTTAATGAAATGGAGACTGAATACTCGCACATTAAATTTATGTCGGCTTCACATTAACGTCCGACAGAGTCTTGAACGCCTCCTTGTAAGCATCCAGCAGTGCCTTAACCCGGGCCCGTTCCGCCACTAGACCCTCATCCTCGTGGAGCATCTCCTGGAACAGATCTGGTTTGTACAGAGACGCGACGAGGCGGTTCTGCACATGGTAGGATGTGTGGTTGACGAGCAAGTGCATGATCGCTTTTGGGACGAGGTCCTGGATGCTCTGGCGGACGATGCCAAAGTACGATGCGATGAGTGAGCGGATGAGCGACGTCTCCATCTCTTCCCGAAGCGTGAGGTGGTTCCCATCCGCCGGAATCTAAGGATGCATAGTAAGTATGGTGCCGACGAAAATCGAAGGGATTCGCTCACAGCTTCGATGTGTTTGCCGAGACTCTTCATGTCGTACGCAGCGTTGCTTCCGTCTCGCTGTGTTGCCAATCCAGACGCGATCGCCATGTTGTTGGAGCCCTCGGCCGCAGATACATCGCGCCCCACAGGCACGATACTGCTCATCCCGCTGGCACTCGACCGCGTCTGGTGGCCCGCATGCTCCATCACACTCGACCCCGCAATCGGGCCCGGCCCATTCTGCCCAAAGAAGTAGTTCAAAAATGTTTCCCTGGCGGACGGCGGCGACCCGCGGTGCGTTTGCGCCATCGCGGAATGCGGTCGCTGCTGATTCAGGATCTTTCTCGTTGCCGGCGCAGTGGGCAGCGTGGGGGTGGATCCGGTCGACGTCCGTGCACGGTCATGTATCGTGGCGGACACCGAGCGTTCGTTGCCACGAGTAGGGAAGATGCCATTGGGGAGGCCATTTTCATCGGACGAGTCTGCGTCTTCGTCCGTCCCAGTGCCGTTGGTCGGCTCGGTAGATGCAGGCTGGAAAAAGTAAATAACAAGAAAGGTGTTCGGTCAGCTGGGACTGACTCGTAAAGGCATCTGCCGAGCAACTGGGGGAGAACTGGCCTGCTGTGCGGCGACAGCAGATCCGGAGATGAAGGCAGGGTGGTTAGTGTTGATGTACGCCGCCTGTATTGCGATCAGGCTCTGCGCGTACTCCGATGTGGGGCCTAGCCGCTCCCGCAACAGCTCGGAAACGACCTCGATGAGTTTAGCATGCAAGCCAGGGAATCGTTGCAGCTCCTACAAGACCAGGATTAGCTTGATAGTCGAGACACAGAAAACACCCACCGTGCTCGTGCAGTTATGGCAGATCTTGACAAGTTCCTCGTAGACGAGTTCCACGCAGCGCAAACTAGGCGCCTCCAGCAGCTTGATTTGGGGCTTTACCAGGAGATCGAATGCAATTTCAGGAACGAAGAGACTAGGGCGCGGTCCCGTGGAGTTGCGGATTGCAGTTCGGATATCCTGGTTGTCGAGGTTGGCTGTGGAGTCGATCGAATCGAGCGCCTGCCCGAATACGTCGTGGAAAATATAATATATCCTGGCGCCGCCCGAGAGCTCTTTTGTCGAGATATCGACCTTTGTTCCCTCGATCGAAGCAACGAAATCGCGCGCAAACTGGGTCATTAACCGCAGGATGAGAGCTCCTTGCTTCAATGACTATAAGCTTACGGCGAGCGGATTGGGGATCACGGACCTGATTTTGGTCTCCAAAGCTGTCTGAATCCCCGAAAGAGTTGAGCTCCTGCTGAGCTTGGCCCATCAAGGTATTCAGCCGCGCCTTCATGTCCGGAAGTTTGTCCCGGATGTGGTTCATGAGAACCTGCAAAAGGTTGAATCAATATCTCGGACGCTAAACGGCGAATCGCACCTGGTTCAAAGTTTTCGCCAAGTACTTTGTCCCGTTCTTGTGGGCGATATTTCGATATGCGGGGTGGTTTTTGAAGAATTCCGTTTCGCTGTTCAGCGCGGCCTCCATGCTCTTCTCCCCGTTGATATCTTGCTGGCTGCGATTTACGACACCGATGAAGCCAAGCTTGAGCGGATAGACGCGGCCCGTCAAAATGTCCAACGCGTTGGTCCCAGCGTCCATCAAGTCCAGCTTCGTCAGAACGCCAATTGTCCGCCGGCCCTGAGGGTCAACTTGGCGCGCGAGCTTGAGAGACTCGGAATTGGCCAGGTCAACATTGGCCGGTGACACTGAAAGGATCACGCTGTAGACCGACGGATAAACAATTTGCGTTGCAGCGAGAAGTCGACGCGCACCTGTTTGGTCTGGTAATATAGTCCAGTACTAAGTTGCGGATTTGCCGTTCAATATCACTTGGTTGGTCTCCAACAGGAATCTTTCAACACCGTTGAGTATTCCGAATAACGGGTTTACGCGTAGAGGCGCACTTTAGTCAAGCCAGGCAAATCGACGAGCGTCAAGTCCAGAACGTCTGGGCTGTAAATTCGGAGCGATATAGGGAGCTTGCTAACGCCTTTGTTCTGCCCTGCGACGCGGAAAGTCTCTTGCTCGATCTCCTTGCGAATGTCTTGAAAGTCGGTGAACTTTTTATCTATGTGGAGAAATTGCGCCCATTCTCGAAATATTGGGCTGCTGGGAGAAGGATCGTTGGATTCAGGGGTGTGTATCAACTGGAGGACGAGGGGTCGGCGCGTAACGATGCCTTGGCCGCGGGGAAGAAAGTCCCGTCCAACGATGCTGTTCCCTATGAGCGACTTGACACCTGAAGGTCCTGGGCACTCACGTCTCGAGAACGCTGGACTTTCCTGCTGATTGACTGCCCACCTTGCATCAAGTTAGTGTTTGCAAGGTATCCACCCAAGCCGACGTACAACTACAAGTTGGGGCATGTCCAGCTCCCCCCCTGCAGAAAAAACGATTTGATATTGCACCACGGCATGGAAAGTGGCTGAATAGGCGCACCCAAGTTATTGAAGGTATCCTGGAGCTTGTTCACGAGCTTTATGAGGTCCGTATCCATTGTGCCGCGCGTGCTTTATGCACAAGAGGGTGCGGTAGAGAAACAAGAGCCGTCACGAATAAAACGCGTAAAACGGTTGTTAGCTGGAGTCGGATGCGGCGCGTCGTCACGGCAAGGCTCACAATTTGCGCTTGTTATCACTCATTCACATTTTGGTTCCGAACAGCCACGCAATTGCGGCAACTGCATTTCTTCGTTGGAATATAACATATCTACGTCGAGAAGTACACCCTGGAACGAGCTCCGTCTTTACATCGAGTTCAAGAACTGTAACAAATCCTGGCGATTTGCATCTCGCTCCTCGTCGCCCTTTTCCTTTTTGACCTTGAGTTTAATCTTTGGAGGGGATCTGAGCGCTCGTGTGACATCGGAAAGTAAAAGCATTTACCTTCTTTCCGGTCAATATGCTTCTTCTTTCTTCCTTGTCCTTCTCCTTGGATCGCTCTCGCTCCTTTCTCCGCTTTCGTCGCTTTCTATCCTCTTCTTCCTCGTCGTCGTCGTCTTTGTCCCGACTCCGCCGTTTACTGCTCTTGCGTGTAGATCCCTCGTCGTCGTCATCCTCGTCGCGGCTTTTCCTCTTGCTGCTCTTCCGTTCGCGTGTGGCAGAGGAGCCGTCATAGTGCTTGTCGCGAGAATAATACTCGTCTCTGTCCTGTTAGCCATAGAAAATCGTTATGATTTGCATAACAGCACCTTTCGAGGTCAGAACCTGTTATTTCTGATATAAGGTTGAGGACAGACGTACCACAGTGTCAAGGCGGCGGTGGTCTCGTTCTCGAGTTGGACTCGGGCTCAATGCACGATTGTGGTGGCGCTGCGAATACAATATGTAACGCAAGGCTCCGGAAATTGGAATGACAAAAACACTAACAGATTCGTAGTCATCTTTCTCTCTGCGTAGACTAGGGCTACGTCTGTGTTTGTGCTACCGCGAAATAGAATTCGACAGTGTGACAAGACAGAGACTCGAAGATTGACGCACTGAATGTCTGCTCTCGGACTCTGCACTCAAATCTCTTCGAGCGCGTCGAACCTAGAGCGAAAGTGTAAAACTCGGAAATAGTAGAGTCAGATGAGACTAACGTCCGGGCGTTCCAAGGATTGGTCTGGCTCGTGCCTGTGCGCATCAGGGTGACGAGAGCTATTGGACCGCGATGCAGAGTCGTGGTGTCGCGCAGAGTGGCCGTTGTCGCGATAATGCGAGTCTCCGTGCGTAGAATATTTCTCATGAACCGATGGAGGCCGTTCTGTGATTCGCCGTCGAAGCCATGGTGTACACCGAGGTAGGCAAAAGATGGGATGTCAGAAAAGGGATAGAGGTGAGTCCCATTTTTTTGAGCTTGGTCGATATATCTCACCGACTCGAGATTTTGGCCGGTTCCCCTTGTCGGTTTGGTCCCACCTCGACGAGTAGCCCATTGCAGGTGGTGGTTTCGAAATGAAAGCGAGGATGTTCATCGACAGCCAGGCGGCTTACCGCCTCGAGCTCTACATATACAATCAATTGAAGACGCTGACATGTCTCGACTAGTATATCGGTTTAGTACACGCGCCTGTCATATTGCGTGATGTGCCATCGCGCGAAAGCTGGGTTCGACTCCCAGGTCGAGAGTCTACTTGTTTTTCATCCAACTGTTTTTAGTTCGAAACATACACACCAGAAAAGGAAAAGTTTACCTGATTGTAGCAATTTCCTTTTCAAAATTAATTCTACTGAAAGTCTCATTTTCGGAATTTGTGAAAGAGGAGCCGAAAGATGGACTTTCAGTGTCCCTTTCAGATCTTGTGAAATAGCTACTTTCATGAGACTATGAAACCAAAGAGGAAAGTCCCACTTTCAGTGTGCCTTTCAAAGCCACTGAAAGAACTATTTTCAGGGACTTTGAACAAAGGAAGACAAAGGAAGAAACCCTGAAAGTGCCTCTTTCTGATGTTTATGAAAGGCACATTGAAAGTGGAACTTTCCTCGCTGCTTTCATAGTATCATGAAGGTACCTATTTCACGAGATCTGAAAGGGACACCGAAAGTCCGTCTTTCAGCTCCTCTTTCACAAATTCCGAAAATGGGACTTTCAGCAGAATTAATTTTGAAACAGATATTGTGACAATCAGGTAGACTTTTCAACCTCTCTGAAACTTTTCCTTTTCCGGTGTGATAGACCCATTCTACTGTAAGTCAGTGTAGTTGTGAAAGTTCAAGTAACTGGTGCACGCTACTGCAAAACCCTATTAGCGTAGTAAATAGGAACCAGCTGCAGGTAAATAGTATTATTATAGTAATGGAAGAATGATCGAAATTCAAATAAAGCTTTGCTTCCTGCTTACATGTTCTTGGATGGACGATCCGTGGGCCAATGCTTGGGGCGAGCCCGCGACAACGAGCAAGCTGCCCCCGGCGCCAGCATTCCCCGCTGCCCACACCGTAGCCGACGAAGAAGACATTACAATTCCCTCTTGGGAGTCTCAGCCGTCCTGGTCAGACGGTAATAATTCCAACTCTCTCTGGGGTGCTCGTTCGCCTGCTCTCGACAAGTTTCCCTCGTGGCATTCTCCGTACGATGACCTTCCCTTGGGCAAGTCTTCGACGTCGCTTCCGGAGGCAACGGAGCTGCCTTCTGGTGAGGAGGAAGACGAGGAAGAAGAGCCTGAGCCGGAACCCGAAGCCGAACCTTCGTCTGAACCTGCGTCTGAAATTGAATCTGTGCCAGAGTCTCCCGTAGAAAGTGCATTCGAGCCACCAGTTGCATCTCCAGTACTTCCTCCAAATTCGCCATTTCCACCGAATTCGCCGCCCGGCAGTCCCGATGCATTCGGCACCTTTGAGAGTGGACTAGATGATCTACCGGCGGCTTCGGATCCATGGGCACCATCTCACGGCGTCTCTGTCACCGACTCGGCAGCCGCATGGGGTGCTGCCTGGGAGCCTTCCGACGTTGAAGAACGAGCGGACCAAGTTCCGGCTGTCGTAGATGAATGGGAGGCCGCAAAACAGCAAAAGGCTTTGCGGGACAAGCACGTCGTGCGTCCATTTATTTCTCCGTACCAAACACAACTGATTGTTCGTGAAGTCACCAGAGTTGCTTGCATCCTTACTCGTCCAATTTACGGAACTCGCAGATGGCCTCTATCCGCCTCAACCGACGCCAAATCTAGATCCCGACGACTACCGAGCTAGTCGCCACAAGGGCCTGGAGGGAATTGACTCTCTGTGCGTGTAGCTCTCCTCAAAAACTGCATGAAAGCTCATCGAACGTGCAGCAACCCCACTATAATGCGCCTCCTCCCTACCGATCTTACTCTCCCTCCGCCCCGCCCTTTCCAAAAGTCTGTCACTGCCAAGCACACCACAGAAGCCCTGCGCCTTTCACGCAACGCCGCATTCGTGCGCTTCAGCCCGCTCAGTCATTACAGTGCGACGAAAGGCTCAACCGCATGGGAGGCGTCCGTCAAAAGCCGGCCTGAGGTCGTGGCAGAACCGGATTTATTGCCACCAGGGTGGCGCATCGTAGAAACAAAGAAGGATGTGCCAGTGGCGGACAAGAAGAAAACAGGCCACGGCGGACTACTTTCGTTCTTCGGTCGTCGCTCAGGGACGCCGCCTGTTGTCCTGGGCGGGGATAGTGCAACACCGCGCTCGTCATCGCCAGCGTCCGTGTCTTCTCCGCCCGCGAGTCTGGATAGCAGCATCAAGTCCCCGACTTCATCCACCAAGTCACCGATTACTACTTCCGATGCTACTTCTGCTTCTCCCTCTTCCGCAGTCAGTCTTGCAGCGTCTATTAACGCTGCCCCACCCCCGCCACCTCCTCTTGTAGCCCCCGTGGCATCGCAAACGGACAGAAGCGTGGAGCCGGATCCGGTCACTCCCGTCTCCGCGCCGTCTGCCGTCTCGCGCTTCCTTGGACGCTTCGGGCGCAAGGCCCCAGCCGCAGGCGAACGACAACAGAGTCTCGCGCTGTCCGAGGGCGACTTTGATTTTCTCAACGATATTGAGGGCGCCGCCGCTGCCGCAGGTCCCAGCTCCGGTTCGGACTTTGCGATCAGCGGTGTGCTGCTTGACGAACCTGTTGCGCTGCCCGCGAAATTGGCGCCGCCACCCGTGGCACCGCGTGTGCCTGCTCATAACCCTGGGCTCGCAACTCATAATAACGGCCAAGAAGGCCGGCCTTCTAGTGATCGTGATCCAGATGAGCTGGCGATTTTCGGGACATTTACGCCGCTTTCAACTACCAGGCCTTTCACTCCTCCATCCGCGAAGCCCTTCACTCCCCCACCTGCGCAGAGTACATCTACACCAGCACCGACAGCACCAGCAGTACCGCTGCCTCTTACCATGTCGCCCGTCGATTCGGATATTGATTTCTCGGCGTGGGGCTTGGATGACGAGGAGAAGAGCGGTGGGGTGGGGATAGTGAGGACAGAATCGGAGCCTGTGGCCCGAGCGCCCCCCAGGCCGATGTTCAACACGAGGGCTGCGACGAACGCGCGCGGTGCCGTACCCCCGCCACGACGCGTGACCGCGATCATGTCTTCTGGGCCGTCCAAGCCTCCAGCGGCCGTACCCAAGCTTGACGGGGCGTTCGGTTTTCTGCCTCCACCACGGACGCAAACACAGGCTGTCGCCCCGATCTTGGCTCCTCCGCCTGGGACAAAGGCTCCAGTCAAAGTAACAGCGTTATTGGACGACAGCGACGACTTCTCGGACTTCCATGCCCCTCCACAAATAACCCCCGCCGCGTCCGCCAACTCTTTCTACGATACTAGCTTCTCGTCGTCCACATTGTCCGACCGCGGGCTCTTCTCGTCGACATCCTCCGCGCCTGTCCCAGAGAACCTCTTTGACGACTTTGACGACTTCACGCAGGCGTCGCCGCACGAGCCCGCGACGCTCCGCACGCCCTCCCCGCCGCGTCCTCCCGCCAAGTCCCCGCGCATCCCACCACCAGGGCCGCTGGCCTTCAGCAGCGCGCCCCCGCTGCCCCCACCACCGCCTTCGCAGGATAACGACGACACACCGCTCGCGCTCACGCGGTCGTCGCTCCAGCGAGAGCGTGCCGCGAGCCATCAGCGCACGCTCAGCCTCGTCGAAGGCGCCGCCGCCAGCTCGGGCATCCGCTGGCCCGCGCCCGAGTCCCCGCTCCCTGAGGTGCTCGCGCCACCGCCAAACGCGTCAGATCCATTCGGGTTCAACACCAGGTCGACGATGCAGTCGCAGCAAGAGGCCTTCATGGGGAATGCGCTGCCGCCTATGCTGAATACGTCGTTCTCCGCCCCGCCCGCTCGCGCTCTGTCGCCGCCGGTGCAGCCCGTGCTGTCCCCCCCAGCGCCACCGCAAAAGGCGCCGACGCCGACGCCGATGGGACGCTTCCCGCCTCCGCCAGGATCCACTCCTATACGTGCGTTTTCGCAGCCTGCGCCGTCTCCTGCTCCGCAAAAGGCGCCTACACCGACGCCGATGGGACGCTTCCCGCCTCCGCCAGGATCCATTCCTACGCGTGCGTTTACGCCGCCTGTGCCGTCTCCTCCTCCACAAAAGGTCGCACCCGCGCCGACGCCGATGGCTCGCTTCCCGCCTCCACCAGGCGCGGCGGCACCTATGCGTACTTTTTCGCCGCCTGCGCCGTCGCAGACCCCCACGCTGCTGCCGCCACTGCAAAATGGTATGGCGCGCACGTTCTCACCGCCGACGCTGACGTCGCAACACGCTGTACCGACGCCGCCCCCGATGACCTCGACTGGGTCGGGCAAGTCGTCGGGTGGACTATCGGCGCAGGACCTTTCGTTTTTCGAGGGCTTATAGACTGTATTATTTATTACAGTACCACCAATACTATCGTTATTCACCGCTGTCATAATTGCTTAGGGACAAAAGGCACGACAAAATCCAGTCCAGGCGGCAGCATGATTGAACATGGTCAGCATAGGTACATGCTACATAACGAAGCCCCAAAGCGGAAGTCGCATCTACTCTTCCTCCTCGTCTTCGTTTTGGCTAGATAGCATGTGAGTGAGTGAACAAAATACAAACAGCATAAAAAACATACACAGCGTTGTAACGGAGCTGGTAAACGTCCTTGGACGGAGCAACGACGCGGACCCAGTCGCGGATCGAGTGCTTTTTGAGGAACTTCTTCGTGAGGTACTTGAGGTAGCGTTTGGAGAAGTGGATCGACGTCGTTACTGTCAGTTTTGAGCCGGCGTCTGAGGACGAGTGAATATTCTTTCTACAAAACATAGATACCGCTGTACTCACTATCGCGGACAATTTTGACGTTGTCGCCGAGCTGGCCTGCCTTGCCCTCGACCTTGATTCGGTCATGGAGGAATTTTTCAAAGTCTGCGCCGTCGAAGATGCCGTCTGCAGCGGGTTTTGAGTAGTCAATGACAAACTTGTGCTTGGAGACGGTCTTCGTGGGGGCGGCTTTGGGCTGAGAGAGAGAAAATAAGCCTACTGAGAAGGGAACTCAGCAAAGCATTTGTACGGACCATCGTGGCAGCTGGAAAAAGTCAGTGTAGAGTGGCGGTGCAACTGGACAGTCACATGATCTGAATCCACCAAATTCGGCAACACTAACTTTTCCTCAGCGTTCATTATGAGCTCCAAGCTTTCAG